GGCACCTGCTCCCCTGCGGGGTCGGGGCTCTCCCCCGCGACTCCGGGTCCTGCTCCCCGTGTCCCCCACCCTGTGCCCTGGCAAACCAGGGTGTCCCAGCCCTGCCAGCACCCCCTGTGCCATCCCCACTGCTGCTCAGGGCAGGGTGTAGGGAGAGGGGGGCTGCATGACCCCCCTCAGCACCCCAGCTGCAGTGGGGATGCAAGCAAGCTAGGGACATCCCCTTACAGCCCAGGACATGGAGTCACTGTCACTTGGAGTCAGCCCAGTGTCCCCGCTGCCAGCACCAGCATCCAGACAGGTGCTCAGGCCCCGGGGAGGGGGGTCTTGGCCACCCCGCAGGCTCCGGTTCCCTCTGCAGCACCAGTGCTTGCTGGAGGGCTTTGGTTGCCTGCCCCGGGGGCTGCTGCTTGCCTCCGGCCTGTGAGCAGCATCTCCTGGCCGCTGCCAAAGGATTCCTCGAAGACGCCTCATGGCAGCCAGGACAGGAGGCACCGCGGGCAGTGGGAGGGAAGGAGCAGGGCTCCCCAGGCAGCCACGGGAGCTGGGGCAGGTGCTGAGCCCAGGGCCACGGGCGGGAGGGCTCCTGGCTCCCAGCTGCAGCTGGCGGGGAGGATGCTGCGGCCAGTCAGGGTGTGCTTGCACCCCGGTGCCTGTGTGCGGGGACCGTCACATCCCACTGGGCACAAGGGCTGCCTGCTCCCCGGGACCCCAGGGTGCTCTGGGTGCCCAAACGAGGGTCCTGCAAGAGCCCCACCCGCTGGGCCCCCCCCGGCTGCTCGGCCAGCACTCTCAGAAGGGCCCTTTCCTGCAAGCACGGCCTTGGGCAGAGCACACCGAGCTGGAGGGCTGCTGAGCGCCGCAGGAAGGAACTGGGTCCGGCCCGGAGTCCGACTGTCTCCAACCTCACGTACTTGCTCCATGACGAGACTGACAGGAATCCAGAGTGAGTCACAAATTCCCCAAGACCCTCAGGGGACAAAGCAAAGCCACGGGTGAAAAGGACATCCCCAGCTTCTGCTCCCGGTCCTTGTGCTTCTGCCAGGCAGCTCCCTGGCAGCGGCTGAGGATGCCGTGGGTTGCTGCTGGCAGAGCTGGCCCCTTCCCGTTCCCGTTGCAGCCCCTGGCCCCCCCCCGGCCGATAAGGGCTCGTGTGCGGAGGCGGGAGCGGGAACTGCCCAAGCGCTTGTGATTCCCCCTCTCACCCCCTTCCTGCAGCTGTGCTCAGCATGCCAAGCGTTGCTCTCGGCGGGATGCAGCGAGCTGGCACTGCGGGGCAATGGCTTGCTGTGTCCCTCTGACACTGGCATTTTCCCCTGCGTGTCCCTGCCTGTCCCTGCTCTGGGGAGCGGCGGCCTCTTGCACACATGGGAGCCAAGGTGGAGCAGGGCAAAGTCCAGCCGGGGCACCTTGGGCCCACGTGGCCACGCAAAGCAGAGCTGAGTGCTGCGGGCTGGCAGGCGTGCCTGCCCTGCCCTTGCCACCACCGCCTGCACTGGGGCAGGGAGAAGGTCCCAGTGTCCCTGGGCCCCACTGCACCGAGTCCTGCAAAGAGCGCAGACCCAGGTGGGGTGTCCCCGGATGCCCCCCGGCGCAGCAAGGACACGCACGGGCTCTGCCGAGCTGCACCCATTGCACAGCGCTGCCATCCCCGTGAGGCGCAGGGTGAGCACCCCCGGCCATGCACAACCCCATGGCAGGGTGAAGACCCTGCTGTCGTGGAGATGCATCCTTCCAAACCCACCCTGGAAAGCCACCCAGCCGGCCGGAGGAGCCGGGCAGAGGCCGGTGCAGTGCCGCCCCGGCACAGCTCGCTCACACGGGGCTTTCCGGGTGCTGCCATGTCCTGGCTCCCCCTTCAAAGCCTCTGCTTCAAAGCAGCCCTGGGGCCATACGTGAGCCGGACGTGCGCAGCGCCGGGGGTGGCCACGGCTCCCCAGGGATCGTGCCCCGCATGCCAGGCGCTCGGTGGGGCTGGGGGACCAGAGTCACCCCCAGACCCCCGTCCCAGCAGCCTGGGGCAGCTCTGGGGGCAGCGGGGCCAGTGCAGCCAGGGCAGGGAGGTGCTGGCCCCTGCAGCGCTCGGCACAGCCCAGTGCTCCGGGACAAGCCAGGAATGGGTTTGTTGGCGAGAGGCAGCCAGGAAAGGCAGGGACTGACCTGCGGCGAGCCCTGGCTTCCTCCCCAGTCAGTGCTGGGGCAGGGCGACATGGAAAGGGGCCGCCCCAGGCGCCCTGACACTCACAGGCTGGGGGACACATCATCCCCATCGGGTGCCGGCACACGGGGCTGGGGTGAAGGCTTTGCCATCCCTTGAGGGGTTGTGGTCTCCTGGGGAAGGGGGCTCACACCCCCTGCCTTCCCCAGGATGGCCCCGGGGCCATCACAGCATCACCCCCGCTTGGGGACACACCATGACACTTCTAAAGAGGCAGATGGGGCATGGCCCTTCCCGGGGCAGCGACCCTCCCCACCAGCCCCAGGCTCCAAACACAGGGCACGGGCCCCTCTGCAGCGGCATCAGGCCTGCGGCCCCCAGGCACATGGCACCACGGAGCTGGGGAGGGCGATCGAGCCAGAACTGGGACCCTGCTCCCATGTCGGGGGGCAACTATGGCTCGAGGGGAGCCCAGGGTGGGGCAAGGAGGTGGCCGGACGCCTGGGTCCCTTGGCCGGACGCCTGGGTCCCTTGGCCGCGGTGCTCGGCAGCAGGGCTGGAGTGCCACCTCTCGGGAGAGCCGGGAGAGAGAGAGCAGGCAGGCAGGCAGGCAGCCTCTACTCCAAATTTTAATGAAACAAATAACTTAATAAGTTAATCAAGTGAGGTAACTACCGCTGGCTGGGGAGGTCTGCAGGGACCAGCCAGCCTCGGGGAGGGTCCTACGAGTTAGTTCCTGCGTGCGGCTGCGGGCAAAGCTCTCGCATGCACCCTCGCCCCACGGCCAGGTGCCCACGGCACCCATGCACCAACCCACCGCCTGCCGCCCCACGGCACCTGGCCGTCCCCTCGTGTCCCTGCGGCACCGCCGCCCCATGGCCCGGCCGGGGGAACAGGCACCCCCGGGGCGAGGGGAGGGGGCCGGGGTGGTGCAGGAGCAGCGGGGCGGCTGTGAGCGGCTCTGGCACGGCCCGCGCTGGCCTCATGCACTAACAAGGCAAGAAAAACGAGCAGGGGCAGGGGTCCCCACTGCCGGGAGCAGAGGCACAGGGGGGCTTGGGAAGAGGGGGTGCAAATCCCACAGTCCAAAGCCCAGAGAGGGGCCGTGGCAGCAGCGAGGGGCTTGGTGGGTCCTCGCCAGCCCAGGTCAGATCCTGGCACCACGGCCACGCGAGTGTCACTGCCAAGTCCTGCAGGGCACCAAGACCCCCCAGGACCCCCAGCTTGGCAAACTTTGGCACTACCACGATCGCTTCCAGCCCAGCTCAGCCCAGCACTGCGGAACTGGAAACCGGCCCCAGGGCTGGGGTCAGGGCAGCAAAGGGGAGTGGGGCAGCACGGGAGCTGCCATGGCTCTGCCACAAGTGGCACACAAGGAGGCACGGCCCCTCTCTATCCCCACCGGGCAGTCACCCCCCAGCCCGTGGTCCCCAGGCCACAGAGGGGACGGGGACATGGGGAGGGACAAACTGAGCACCGCAGGACCCGGCAGGGAAGGAGTCCTCTAAGCAAGAGCAGGGGCTGGGACACGAGAGGGAGGGCTGCTCCTTGGGGACCACTGTCCCCATCGCCTGCGCCTGCATCCCTCCCTCCTCTGCAGCCCCTGCCCAGCCCCATGGCCCCAGGGCCACCCTCAGGTGGAGGTTTGTCACCCAGCCCCAAGCCCCCACGGCACCCAGGCGAGCCCCCACAGGCAGCAGGATCCAGCCCTGTGTGCTGGCAGGGGGGGTTGCTTATTGCCTATGTCCCCAGGCGTTGCTCTGCCCAGGGGTGTTGCATATTAAGACATTATTGCATAAATATATATCTCCTATATATATATTGCCCTGGGAGCA